TAATTGTACACTATGATTATAATATTATATAATATTAACATTTATTAAAGGTAATTAACAAAATTAAATATATGATTAAATTGTAAACTAAATATATTTATATATTTATTATAATATATCAGGGGTCTGTTGTTATAACTTATTAATAAACAAGTTTCATTTAAGGAGTACAATGTGTTCACAAGTTTTGTGCTGTATGTCAATGAGCATTAGGTAGATGACAGATCCGACGAGTGCACCCAAATGGGGTCCAATAATGCCCCCAATGAGCCAATACAGGCCATTGAGGGGCAGGAAGACATCATCGCCATAACCGACAAGTAATAGGAAAACGCGGGCCGACAGGTCACGCGCAGGGTTTAGAGCAGCGCCACAATTGAAACCAAATGAGACAATGACTCCGCATATGATTATACTTATGAGGACTGGTATTAAATATTTAGGTATTTGAAGATTTGTGTCATCCATTACTGTCAACACTGCCATCATTACCAGTGAAGCGCAGATAATCTATTCAATTCATGGTTTTATTATTTACTGTATTGAAAATTATAACATTTGTCACTATTTCATACCTGATCTAAGAGTACACCATAAATACTAGCGCTTGGATTGGGGAATGTTGTGAATATCATACCAGTGCTGGTGTTCTCGCCAAAACCAGACCTAATTCCCCCGTCAAATGCATTGATGGCATTGTAATAATTGGCGAATACCAGTGCTGTGGCACTAAATGCACCCAAATATTGGGCCGTCACATAACACATCACTTTCCTATAATCAAAGCCACGAGTGATTGCCAGCGCAGTGGTCACAATAGGATTGAGATGACCTCCTGATAGATAAGCATTTTAATAATTGCCAATAAATTGAATTCAATATAACACACCTGAAATAGATATACTAACTAAAGCGCCCAATAACACACCGGCGCCGGCACCAAACCCTATTCCTAGCAATTCAGTCACAGAATTGCCAAACTTTAAGGAATAAGAAGCGGCAGATCCCGTCACCATTAGCTGCAGACAAACACATGACAATAGACAGATGAGCAAGCACACATACTACTATCATAATAAAACTCACATTCATTATAAAAGTACCGACAAATTCTGCCGCAAATTCTCTCCCAATATTTCCTTTGGAGCCGTAGTTATAAGAATTATCATAAAAATTTAAATTAATAGATTTATAATTCATAATGTATGATTTTAAAGTTTTTAATGTAGCTGGCTTAAATCTTAGTAGCTTTACTATAATTCAATAAATAAGGAGCCGTAGTTATAAGAATTATCATAAAAATTTAAATTAATAGATTTATAATTCATAATGTATGATTTTAAAGTTTTTAATGTAGCTGGCTTAAATCTTAGTAGCTTTACTATAATTCAATAAATAGACTCTATTTAATAATTCTTTGCACTAGTATATTTACAAAATATATATAAGAATAATGTCAATAAATTAGTAAATGATATGAATATAGTGTGTTTATAGTATGAGACATATGATTTTACAAATCCAGTAAAAGCCAACCAAAACTAGTCAATAGTTTTAAAAATAAAATATCATAAATTTGTATCATATTAAATTATAAATTGACATTAACTTATTGATTATATTCTATTAATAATCTCATATAAATTGTATATTAATATTATATAATCGACTCGTTTCATTCCATAAACATATAATCATTATAATACACTACAAATTAATTTAACTTAATGTAAGTTAAGTTAATGTTAATACAAGTGTGTTTAGCATTTATATATTAGTTATAGAATACTTTAGCTAACCTGTGTTAACATTAACGTCTATTACCACCACTATAAATAAATGTGAATACAACAACAGATAAAAATATGTATTGATTATCAGTCATTCGTTTCAATACAGAGTTACAGACAGACATGTGTCGGAATTGGAGTGCAAACTCTTTATAGTATAACGATAACAAGATAACAATTTAATAGTAGTCAATAGTACAGTATAGTTTAAATTTTAGAATGTAAATAAATACAATATGTTGTTATTATGTTAAAATAATATATTTATAATAAGGTTAATTGAATTGAAAATGCTATCATTTATTAAAGAATTGGTTAATTAGATTTGCAATCTTGTCGTCGTGTTCAGCTAAAACATCTCCCGGATTGGCCCGGAATTCCTCGATGTCCATCACATCCGATGTCTACAGATAATAATAATACAAATATTATAGATTAGAGTTTGTTTGAACAAAGACTGACATCATATTTGAATAATACCTCTCCAGAAATAAAATACGATTTATAAATATTGTCGATATCTGTAGTGTTGTTGTCTTCGCCAAAGTCTTCAAATGGTTTAATAACGAGAAGTTTTCCGGTCTTTTCGAAGAACTTTTTGCCGACATTCGTTCGAACCTTTTGGAATTTGGTCATCAATTTAATCCTATAATCGGTGAACAGTTTAGCCCTTCTGAACGAGTTGTGCAATATTTGGGCCAAATCTCTGGAAACCAGACTTTTGCCGCCAAACTCCTTGATTTCAGCGCACAGTTTATTGATCTTCTCATTCATATCTGTGATTGAACTCAAGTCTCGGAGTATTCTTTGCTCAACATTTTTGGGCATTTCGTGGAAAATAAACTTCGAAACGATAGTAAAGATATTGTCATCCGATGCCACGTCCTCATCCATCTTAGTGTTGGACAGAATGTCAATAATAACGGCCCGACCTATAGGTGCCTTTCGCAACATTTTGCTGGCAATGAGAGCACCGTAAAAGTGTCCGACGATATCATAGTTCTCGTTGGGAGACAATCGACTCAGCAGTTGCTTGAAGTGTTGAGTCAAGTCTTTGATTGAATGCAAGCCGTCCATGTCTTTGGTCCAATTGAGTCCAATCACGGGTCTGTCTATCTTTTTAGCCAAACCTTCAAATGTGGAGAATATGCCTTCGATTGGGGGCAAGAAATAGATGGGTTTGCCTGTCTTGACACCATTGAGACGGGTATGCGTTTCGTTAGGGATCAGGAATTTCTTTTTATTCAACTTAAGTCTCGCTTCCCTGATGTCTGCGGCGAACTCTTTCAGATCATTGACTCTTCCGTTCTGGAAGTCCTTCATCTGCTTAACAGTGATAGACTTGACGTCCGACAGACTTATTTTGATGTCATAATCCTTTTCCAATCCCTGTTGCAATTCAATGGCAAACATCGATTCAATACCTATCTCTCCCAAAGTCAAGTGGTCGGGTGTGGTGTTGGGGTCGACACCCAATGCACTCCATATCTGACCAACAATTCGGTGCTCACGACTGCCTTCTTGGGCCATACGCTGTGCTCTTATCTATTCATAAAAGTGATGACATTTGAAAATAAAGTCATTACATTTGATTAAATGAATCATTTGTTAGAATCTCTTCAATACATACAGTACTCGACAGTATAGGTTGTGGACACTGAAGGTATTTGTCCAACACTTCTAAACATGAGTTCACTCTCTGCTTAACGATTGCGGACAACGATGTGTTGATGTCTGTGTCGGCAATTACACCGACATCTCCGATGGGTCCCCACTGGATGGCCAGTCCGTGCAGACCATCTCTTCGTCTGAGTTCGCAAATGCGTTCGACAACAGAATTAGCGAAACTGTAGTTCGTTTGGCCGACATTTCCTTTGCCACAACTGACCGATGAAAACACCACAAAGTAATCCAATTGCGGACACAAATCACGGGTCAAACGATCCAAATGCAGGAATGCGTTCACTTTTGAAGCACAGGTAGCAGTGAATTGATCGACAGTTTGGTTTTCAAGTAAGCAATCGTTGAGTACTAATGATAAGTGGAATATACCACCGATTGGTCCCAATGTGAGCCCTTTCCTCAACAGTCGCTCATTGTCTTCAAGGGTTTGCGAGTCGTTTGACTCGATAATGATTTTTGTTTCAAACATCTTTAACTTTTCACCCAAACTTTGCAAACGATTCAACACAAACCTTTGATAATTAGTTTTGACTCCATTTCTTGAAGTCAGTACAAACTTCTTTGCGCCCAATAATATCATCCAATTTACTAACTCGAGTCCAAAACCTCCTAAACCTCCAGTAATTATATAAACCTTTTTGGAGTCAAAATATGTTTTCATCGTTGCTCTCAATTTGTGAGTTGAGTTAAATAAAAGAGTGGGAGCTTTGGAGGGCTCTTCATCTCTGATTTTAATGAGTATTTTTCCGATATGTTTGCCGGTCGTCATGTACCGGAATGCCTGATCTGCTTCCGACGCCTTAAATATAGTGCTGTTAATAGGTTTAATACACCCGTTGTTGCAGTTATTGTGCATCCACTGGAAGAATTTATGGGCGAATTCAGGCATTGCTAATATGATTTGGTCCACAGAAACGCCTATAAACGAGATATTCTTGAGGAATGCAAACATTCCTAATCTCTTGTTTTGGATTAAATCATATTTTCCGATCTCAACGAAACGACCATTTTTGGAGACACATTGAAAACTGGCCTCAAGTTTCTCACCCGTTAGTGAATTTAACACAATATTAACTCCTTTTCCATTAGTTGCTGACATTAACTGGTATTTGAATTGTATATCTCTTGAGTTATATATCCTATTCTCTGGTATTTTATACTTTTCAACTAAAAATCGTTTCTTCTCCTCAGTGCCGACTGTTATAAATAAATCGCAGTTATAATGCTGACAGATAGAGATAGCAGCCTGACCCACACCACCGGCGCCCGAATGAATCAAAATACTTTCATCTAAATGTGCAAACAAATTGGTCATCAAATGCAATGTTTAGCTTATTGACATTTTGTCATTGGTTACTTTGTTTGAGTTGTGCTCGCTCTATAAGTCCGTACCAAACAGTAATATAAGTACTGAGCACAGAGACGGCCTCATCCATAGACCAGTGGTCAGGGATGAGAGTAATCAAGTGTTCGCTCGTATCGACAAACGATGCCATACAACGACTGACACTAAACCCACAAACTCTTTGTCCGGAATCGCTTCGACGACCGGCGAACTCAAAGCCTATGGCGTTATCACATAACATAGTCTCCGGTCCTGATATGAGGCGACCTAACAATACACCAATTTATGCATACAATTACTGATACCATTGATAACATACTGTAATAGCATAACAACTATTAAATACCTGTTGCAAACATTACATCTTTAAAGTTGAGTCCAGAGCTATAGATATGACATCGGATTTGATTAAAGCATTTGTTGTTGATATCAAAACAAGTGGTGCCGTTAAACAAGTTTTTCGAGTCAAACCACTGAAGAGATGAAATGTCTTTATTGGGGCCTACATTCAGGAAATAGTCGTGGGTCTCGATTTGGTCGTAATGTTTGGGCAGATTTAAGTGTCGATACGTTCCCACTTTGCCATCCTTTATAACATTAACCGCCAAATCATTGCGTAAAATATGCGAAATAATAGCATTTTGGTCACTATTGATGGGAAACTTCAATTGGTTGTCGTAATCGAAAATACATCGGATTCTGTCCCCTCCCGGCTCTAAACGCAGACTATTAGTCAAACCAATTATACCATTAATGGGCGAATCATTGCCAATGAGCCATAGCTTTGTCTCATCGTTTTCATCACATATTTCCTTAAATGTAATCAGTCTTTGCTTAAGAGTTTGAAACCAATTGTCAGGTTTGTTATCAATTTGAATGCTTTGTAATTGATTTGAATGATTTTGGTCATGTTGTACATCCATTTTCCTAAAGAGCACACCAATAGAGCCGATTGAATCAAATTTGCGACAAACCATTGAAAAGTCAATACTTTGAGCTGTTTTCACAAACTCTTCAATTCTCTGATCCAATCGAGAATTGTCTGTAAATTTTCTGCCATTCATTTGACTCAAAGCCAGTTCCGGTTCCGTAAATACACTCCTGAAGATAGCTAACAAAAATCCTTTGCGATTGAGGGCGTCATAAATGTGTTGCAATTGATTTTGGACATTCATTGACCACAAGTCGAAACTATCTCTAAAAATGATCAAATCGATGCCCAATAGATCGGATGGGAAGACCACTTTCTTATGATCCCATTCATATAGTTTGAA